AAAAAAGCGTTTGCGTTTTGCGTTCCGTTTTTTCGCGGGCTTGCCGCTTAGAATAGATGGCGAGTGGTTGTAAGACGTCGGACCGTCGTTCTCATCAATTGCGGGGCTCGTTGGTAGAGGTTCGATGTATTTATCATGCCATGGAGGGTACTGCCCACAATTGTCTAAACAGTCGAACGATGGTGGACTGGTAGGCTAAACAAATAATAATTATTTGTCAATATATATGTATAAATTATATGACGTGTATATTACCTTCGGCTTGGTTGGTGCCCATGTCGCCTGTGTAGGGTTGATTTGCATTAAAAATTCATTGATACCATTCTCCTCGTCAGCTCCCTATAAAAATTAAAATAATTAATACTTATATTATTTTTTTAGTTTTATAAATTATAAATTACCCTTGCTTGTGAGCAGTCTTCAGAGTCATAAAGCAATGGCGACATGGCTGAGTATTGAGACGGTGAAATGAGTTTCATTTCAGATTCGGTGAATAACTATAAAATAATAAAAATATGTATTGTATTTTTCCGATTGAATAAGTTTTAAAGATTTACCTCTGGTTCTCCACTCCAACGTTGCGCCCAATGTTCGGATAATTGAGATGAAGCATACATTTTGAGTTGACTGATGAAATCCATGTCTTCTTTAGGATTGGATTCAATAATTTTATCGTCACTTAAATTTTTGATAAAAACGATCATTTCTTCGGGTGTCTTTGGTGGTAAATCAACTTTGGTAAATTCCTGGTCCAAATAATTACCCATAATCTCAAACTGTTTTAAGACAAGTGGTCGTATGATGTTTGACTTTCGAATGACTGTTTCGAAAATACACCGCTCCAAATATTGCAACTGTATTAGGTCCACGCGATTCAACAGTACTCTGCACCCGTCCTGAGTTTTTGACTCTATTACTAGCACATTTTCTCCACCATACACCATACTGGATATTTTATGTAATTCAGTCTCAAGAAATAAATTTCGCTTATATTTTTGCGGTTGATCCAAAATAAATGACAATATATTTCCCATCAGAGAGAATATACGTCTTAAAAAATCGGCTGGCATATTTACATACCGCGATGGTGTGATTATTTGGACTACGATATTGAATTCGTCTGTAGGATCAAGTCCTACATTCAAAAACTTACGGCCGGTGAAGTCAAGTGTAAAATTATTGCAGTCGATGAGGTCCGCAGGTGGTGTTGGTGGAACATAGGTAAAATTCTTCTTTTTGTATAGGGCATCGTTGTTGGTGAAAGAATCAGCCATGTTTAAAATTATTTTTAAACACTATTAGATAAACTGTTTTAAAAAAATCTTAGAGAGCAAGAAAAATATACGTGTACACTGGTTTAACGCAGTAGACGGACTAAATAGAAGTGCCAGTTGTTTCAGCATAGTGCCATAGTATAATAACCGTGTGAATTGTCCCTTCTTCGATATGGCAGATACTTGTATTATTATTAGAGGTGGCTATTAAGACATCCTGGCAATGACAATAATTAGGCTATTAGGGTTAATGTATTTTTCATTAATTGGTATCTTCTATTCGATATACTATAGGTATAATGGTCATTTATTAATTGTTCGGCGAGCGTGCGAACGGATTTACTAATGACAATACGCGCAGCTGCAATCTATTATTAAATGTTTCTTTTGCAGTTTTATGTACCCGTTAAATATGGCAAGTTCTTAATATAAAGTATATGTGTCGGGGTGGCGCAGTGGTACGGTGATCGCTGGCCAAACCGACGGACTCGGGTTCGAATCCCGGTCCGGAAAAAAATGTTTAGCTTATTTTCCCCGGGTGGCGGCGGCGGTGTGATAACGGAAATAATATGATAACAGTGATAAAATATGATAACACTGATAACATGTGATAACAATAATATAAGTCACGCACGTACGCGAGCAGCGGGCGGTGTGATGAGTGATGAGGATGCGGTTGTGGGTTGTGGGTTGTGGTTGTGGGTGCGAGTGCGGGCGGTATGATGAGTGATGAGGATGAGGGGATAATGCAAGGATAATGGGATAATGGGATGAGGATGAGGGGATAATGCAAGGATAATGGGATAAAGGGATGAGGATTCAGAATCCCCCAATTTATACTACTTACGTCCGAAACTCTAAAAAGCACCATAAAGTCATTCCTACTGAAATTCAGCTAGAAATCTGCGCCAAAAACCGCTTTCGCAGAGAATGGCAACGGACTCGTGATCCCCAGACAAAAAGGCTACTAAACTCAAAAATACTATGTATTAGGCTCATGCTCCGGACCCTTAGACAAGATGAATGGGACAAATACCTGAACTCCTTAAATCAAAATGAAAAATCAATATACAAACTAAACAGAAGCTTATTAAGAAAGAAACCAGCCACCCACCCCATCTTAGGGCCCAGCGGATTAGTGTACTCAGCTCAAGAAAAAACAGAAATCTTTGCTGATTCTCTCGAACGACAGTTTACAACCATTCATGGACCAAATCTCCCGGAAGCAGTAGCCAGTATCTCAACACTCCATAAATCAGTCACGAATAGTTCATCCATCTTCACTACTCCAGGTACAATCCAGAAACAAATTGATATGCTCGTAAAGAACAAAGCACCTGGATGGGACCAGATAACAAACACAGCCCTAAAATTTTTGCCTAAAAACAAAATATTACAACTGACAAAAATCATCAATAGCTGTTTCAAACTTTGCTACTTCCCCAATATATGGAAACTATCTCATATAATATCAATCCCAAAACCCGGCAAAAATCTCCAACTACCGGAAAGCTATAAACCAATAGCTCTCCTCTCATCTTTGTCAAAAATATACGAGCGTTCAATTCTCTTTCACCTACAAAGTTCACTGTCTGGTAAAATAAGAGAGGAACAATTTGCCTTCCGTCAAAACCACTCCACAACACTCCAATTAACCAAACTCATCGATCAACTCAGCGCCAACCTTAACCAGGGAATATAAACAGCCGCAGTTTTCCTCGATGTCGAAAAAGATTTCGACCGCGTATGGCATGATGGGCTTCTTCACAAAATGATGAAAATGGACATCCCTTTGCAACTCATTAAAATAATTGAGTCCTTCTTATCAGATCGAACGTTTTCCGTCAAAATAGAGAGTCAAAACTCATCGTTAAGAATAACAAGAGCAGGCGTACCACAAGGCTCGTGCCTCTCCCCACGTTGTTCAACATCTATACAAATGACATTCCCACAGAGCCAAAAGCCCATGTGTCACTGTTTGCAGATGACACTATGTTTTACAGCTCAAATCACAATGCGAGATACGCAACACTCCAACTCCAACGCCAAATAAACATAGCCTCAGAGTGGTTCAAAAATTGGCGCCTCCGAATAAACGAGGCAAAAACCAGTGCAATCCTCTTCGGTCGTACACAAAAATTGAACATCAAAATCGAAGTAAACAACATCGAAATCCCTTGGTCAAATAACGTGAAATGTCTCGGAGTTATAATTGATCACAAGCTCAACTTCTCCAATCATGCTGAAACGATTGTCAAAAAAGCAACTAAAATACGAGGATCCCTCTACCCAGTGCTTAACAAAAAATTCCCAATCCCAGCTAGGACGAGACTAAACCTTTTTAAAATGTACGTTCAGCCAATACTAACCTATGCCGGTGCATCATGGGCACCATTCCTCTGCAGATCCTCCTGGCAGAAAATTGAGGCTGTCCAAAATATAGGTATAAGAACCATCCTGGGTCAACCGACCATAGTGCGAAACTCGGTTCTCCTAAGCACAGCTGGTTTCGACACTATCAGGAACACCATCAGGAAAAATGCTGCAGCAATTTTTTATAGATGCTCAAATTCACAGTACAACCACCTCAGGAGCATAGGTCAGATCATTCCCCCACCACCTGACTTGAGATTCACACAACGCCCTAGAGCTAAACTCTGGGCAAACAACTAAAATAATCCAACCAAATCAATCAGACATCCTGCGACTAGCAAAGGCTAACAGCCTGGAATAGTTTAATAGGCGAAAGCCGTTCGACCGAGAAAGAAAGAACTTAGCCAGTCCATTCCATACCTTCCAACTATCAACATCTACCAATAACGTTCCGATAGAAGAAGGACCAGGACCAAACACACAAGCCGCCGCTGATTGACGATATTACCGCTCCACGGTCGCAAGAAGCACCCAGCCGACGAACACCGACGACCACACCGCTCAACGGCAGCAAGCGTCACCCCGCCAGAGAAGACCGAATACAACGCCGCTACACGACAACAAGTGTCGTTTAGCCGCCGACCACAGACAGACGAACACGCCGCGTCCCGGCTGCCAGTGCGTCCGACGACCGACGATACGCCGATTTCGACCGCAAGCGCTACTCGGCCGGCAAATACCGACGACCTCACCGCTCCTGGACGTGAGACCGGTATAAACCGCCGACCAACGCCTCCGATACTGTCAGTGCCAGTCAAACCACGTGGCTGCCGCTCCACGGCATAAGACCTGTGTCAACAGATTCGTGCAGTGACAACGCCGGCCAATCAGCAACCACCGTTCATACACCCGGGTCTGCAGGACCATTGGATAAGCCGACAACTCTCGGTGCTGCAACATCAAATGGCCCTTTTCTGGGCCAACACACCTTACCTCGGCACTTATTTAAGTTGTCCGATCCTAGTCTGGTTCGTCGTCGGGGTGCCGCTTAACTAAGTTTGCACCGACGACGGCCGTCTCCCCGGCCAACCATTTTTTATTGTAAATATATATTATAAATCATAGTCCGTTATAAAGATAGGGTCCGGCAGTTGCCCGGCTAATTTATACCCAAGTATCACCGATTGTGCCGACCCACTTAATTAAGTCTGGTCGGCACACATCGACGCTTTACTCGTCCCAATATTGTGAATACAATAATTAATTTACATAGCAATAGAGAGACTTGATTACCAAGAAATACAATCGTTGTTCTTTATTTACGACGCGGGTCGTCCAATCGGACGCACCGTTTCAATGTTCATTCAATAAAACAATCAAAGTATTTAGAACTTTTTTAAATTCTACTCGATAAAAAGTAGGTAAATCAATTGAACACTGTGTGTTTGGATTTTGGTCGATTCTTTTTGGCAAAAGTCTTTTCCGATGATGGCGATTAAAATCTGACACTGGATCAATACCTAACTGTTCAGAAAATTTTATTGCACTGCTTACTAGGTTGTTCATTGCTGTATCATCGCTGTTAATTTCATTTAAGCTACTTAATGAATAATCAATCAACATTAAAGCATCAAGTATGTTCAATTCAGTAGCTTCAAGTTTTTCCGTTAATATTTTGGTCTTGTACATTAGATTTTTCATGAACTATAAGGAAACAACGAAGTCAATTAAAGAAGTTTTTTTACAAGTCCTAGTGCTTGATTTCGTGTATTTTTTTCCATGTCTTGCAAATTAATTATCTCCTGTAAAATTTCAATTATTATTTCAAATGAAACCCACACAGCTTTTATAGATTCCGCACGCGCTGTCCATCTAGTTTTTGAAAGATTACGGAGTTGTAATGAATTTTCTATGGTGGCTAATTTTGACTTAAGGTGAATGTGTCTTTTAGTGCTGGCCGAGAAAAAAACGTATAGATTTTCAAGTATAGAAAAAAAATCACATATTAAAGTACTAGCATCACAACTATGCTCAAGAAAGGTGTTTAATCTATGAGCTTGGCATGGTATGAAAGGAATCATATGGCCAGCTAGTTCTGATAATTTTTGTTGTGTTCCATTTATTCTACCTGACATACTACTAGCATAATCATAAGATTGAAAAGCAATATTCTCTACAGGTAAACTATTTTCAACCAAAACTTCATCAATTTTTTCCGCAACACCTAATCCAGTTTTATCTTTTGCCTGGAATACTTCTAATAGCCTTTCTGATACATCCCCTAATGAATCTATGTAAAGTACACAAACTTAAAATTGATCACTTCGTGAAATATCCGGGGTAGTATCGGACATAACAGAGTATATACCAGCATGGGTGACATCTTTTATAATTGTTTTCTTTACATCATCAGCTAATAACTTAATAAATTCGTTTTGAGAATCATGACTAAGGTATGTAGTTTTATGATTTCGAAACGATTTTTCCTCCAACTATCTTTTCATCACCGGTGAATGCCAAGATAATAGCAAAACAATTTGATTAAAATTACTATTTTGTTCATCTCCGTCTCCTCTATATGCCAAACCTTGTAGAGCTAGAGTACGAGATATATCAAATAACATACATACAATGTCCCGATGAAAACGTTTTTTATGGTCCAGCTCAATTGCTTGAACACGATTTGATTTATTCAACAAGCAGTCAATATGATTAGAACTATTTAAAAAGTTGCTAAAATCATCTAATGCAGATTTATGAAATAATGATGTAAAATGTTGAGTTAATTTTCCAGGTTTTTACTTTCCTCGGCTTTTCATTTTACTCCAGGCTCTAACACCATTTTCAACCCAAGCTGGATCAGCAAATTGCCTATTTGGACCTTTAGGAAATAATGTGCAAATAAAACAATAAACAGCATCGTTTACTATACTATATTCCAAATGAGGATATTCAGTAAACCATACTGAAGTGAACTGATTTTGCTTTTTTGGTGAAATATCGGAATTCTTAGGGTATTTGGCTAACTTAGGTTGACAGGGTCCTAGACTAAGAAGATACTTTCTTTGTGATAACGATTCAACTCGTTTTCTCTTTCCAGGGTCATGTTCAAGAAAATGATCTATAATATTATCATTCTCTCTTTCTGGTGAAAGCTTTAATAAATTATTTATAACTTTTTCTGTAATTTCTATATACTTTTCTGATTTTATCCTTAAATAAGACACAATCTCAGATGTATTAACTAAAAAAAATATAGGGTTTGGAGATATTTCTGTCTTAAGTTTTGTTAATAAAACATTACATTCTTGAAAGCTGTTAATAATTGTTTCAAGCATTCCTGCACAAGCTATCCAATCATATTTGTCTTCTTTACCAACTAAGAATTTCTCTCCTAAGAATAACATAATAAATATTATATTGTATTACATTACATGTAATATTATATTTGAAAATATTATAAAATAATTCTTTATTACATTTTTTAATTATAACAAAATATATACACTTTATAATTAATAATAAAAATATTTTAAATTTATCCGATTAGTATCTATAAGTTCTATAATGTTTATATACTAACACCATTATGGTACATGCATATTTTTTTAATCAAAAGGTCCACTTTTATATTTTTATTATGCACTACTTATGTTACTACTTAATGATTTTTAATATCCTGCATCTTCACCATCAAAGTCTTTATTTTCACTGCTATTATTCTCATTTACAACTGATTTTTCAACTTGAAATTCATTCTGATGTAAACAATTATTATAAAATATATAATTTAAACTTGTAATTTTAAATAACATGGCAGTATAAAAATTATTATAATAAAAGTAATTACTACAGGATCCAAAATATGTTTTCTATCCAATTTCATCAGAGTGTAATTTTGTAGTTTGCAGCGAATTCTTAAAAAAAAAATTTGAATGAGTCACTATTATGTTATAAACACAAAACCACTCAAATCAAATTTTTACAATCAATAAGTTTAGACTTTAGAGTGCAATATTTTAATTTTTAACAATAAAAATGTTAATGCTTACCGATTCTGTTACTTGCTTTTGCTTAATGTTTGTTGTAAACGGATCTTCTGGTGTTCCTGCATGCTTTTTTTCACTGCTATTATTCTCATTTACAACTGATTTTTCAACTTGAAATTCATTCTGATGTAAACAATTATAATAAAATATATAATTTAAATTTGTAATTTTAAATAACATGGGAGTATAAAAATTATTATAATAAAAGTAATTACTACAGGATCCAAAATATGTGTTCTATCCTCGGTGATAATTTCATCAGAGTGTAATTCTGTAGTTTGAAGCGAATCCTTAAAAAAAATTTGAATGAGTCACTATTATGTTATAAACACAATTACACAAAACATCTCAAAGCATATTTTTATATTTCAAAAGTTTATTATTTTTATTTTTTTTTTTTTTTACAAAGAAAAAAGTTAACACTTTACACTTACCGATTCTGTCACTTGCTTTAGCCTACCTGCAGCTATAAATGGATTTTCTGGTGCTCCAACATGCTTCACTAAAACTCTTTTACACTCATGTTGTTTAGTTTCATGTTTTTTTCTATAATCATCATCAAATATACTTCCACATGCCAAACATTCTAATTTCGTTCGTTTTCTTTTTTTCGTATTTGTGCAATTCATAACGAACAAATTAATAAAACATAAACGAATAAATAAACTGTCTTAAGTTAACTCGGTATAACACTCTCACAGTCGTCACAGAAGTACAGAATAGCAATAGGCAATTGTCGACAATCTTTATTATTTACTATCAGTTATAATATATTGTAGCAATGAAGTACGATCGTCGATCACAACAATAATCATTAAATCAAATCAAATATCTAAGACTAAGATAACGACGTATATTCCGACTACGGCTATAAATACATTCATTGCCCTTAGATTCGGGAATTGTAGCCGTAGCCGTCCACGAAAAATGTTTTTCTAATACCAACTAGCGGCTAGCGCAATCTAGTTCTATAGTTCAAATTTTTGCCGACTATTTAATTTTATTTAGCGTATGGCTATATATGCCGACTATATAAATGGGTTATTCGTTGGTGGGGGGGGGGGTATTGCACCCCCACATCCCCCCCCCTAACGCCGGGCCGATCAGCTATCAACAGTTAATACTGAACCGTCCACTTCAAACATTAATATTACACAAAATGTAAGTTGTAAAATGTTTTGTGAAGTGAATCCTTAGTAAATTTAACCAATGTACACAGTTTATTGATACTGCGGGGGACACATACTCACATATTTTATTTTTATTTTCATTTTAATACCTAACTATGTTATTTTAATATATTTTAGGAAAATGTAAAAAATTGGCTTCAATGTAACTTCTGAACTTCAGAATCCTGAAAATTGTTTTACATATACTTGGCTTGAGACTGAAAGTGGGAGAGGCTCAAACGAAGTTGCTTCTGCACTTATACATTTTTTAGAAATGATTGATAATCGACTTCAAACGCAAAACAATCCTTTGACCATTATTAACCTATTCTCTGATTCTTGTTCAGCTCAGAACAAGAATACATTTGTAATGACTGCACTACTATATTTTATAAACCATAAGGCAAAGGTGATCAATGAAATACATCATTACATTCCCATACGTGGACACAGTTATATGCCACCTGATCAGGTGTTTGGTCGAATAGAAAAAAAGCTGAGACAAATGGAAACCATTTTATCACCATATGAGTATTATAACGTGTTCAAAGAATACACTACAGTTAAAACTTTTGGGAAGGATTACGATATAATGGACTTCAAATCTGCAGTAAAAAAAATTGTTAAAAAAGTGGATTTTAAAAGTACTGAACAAAAACATTATTCGTATATTCGTGGTAAAAAGACGGTTGGAGTAAGTCCATCTTATGAAGAGGAGCCAATAAGGGTAAATGTACTAAAAAAGCAAGCTAATTTAGAAAATTTAGGGTCAGCTGAAAAATTACCAAAGTCAAATCATGTGAAACAACCTAAACAAGAAGACGTAAGGCATTTATTACAATTTTTAATAATACCAAATGATGTACAAGACTTCTATGATGATATATTTAATGATAATAATGGCAGTATTAGCCCAATAGAGGACTGTCAAGTATAAGATGAAGATGCAGAGGTATAATCAAAATATATTCATACTTTTTATATTTTTTTTTAATAAAAATATTAATAAGGCATTAATGTTTTAGTGATAATGTATAATAATATAATAATATATCCTTATGTTATAAGGATAAACGTTTCATTGTTATTGCTAACTATTTTAAATATTAACTGTAGATATGATATAAATCATGATAATTCATATTATTTAATAAAAAGAAAAATAATCAAAATGTTTGTCTTATATCATATTATTTTGTTCTATTCAACAATTTTATGCAAAAAATACTTATTCCGGAAAAAGTCCGTTTTGTTTGAAATGTTTGAACTTTATTCCAAAACGTACTTTTTCCAAATTTAATGCTAAACGTACTTATTCCGGAAAAGGTCCTTTTTGTTTAAAATTTTTAAAGTTTATTCCAAAACGTACTTTTTCCAAATTTAATGCAAAACGTACTTATTCCGGAAAAGGTCCGTTTTGGAGGAAACGATTTTTTTTATATCTTAAAAAAAAGCAATAAATTAATTGAACAGAAAATAAATTAATTTATAAACAATATAGAAATATTTTTTAGATTTTTTTAAGACCCTGCCTAAAGGTCTACTACAGTTCAAAATACTCTAAACATAAAATAAAATAGAAATAGTACTTTAAATTTTAAAGTAATTTTCAATCATTTGAATAATTAAATTTAACAATTAAATTTAATCATTTAAGTAAATTAACATAATAATTTTAATAAATTTTAATCGTTTAGTTAAACAATTTAATTGTTCGGGATTTTAATTTTCATATTCAATTATAATTTTTCTGATTGATTAATTATCGACATTTGCACCTACTATTTATATTTATTTAAGCTGAACAATTTCTATTTTACGCATCAGATTATCAAATTCAATTGTGTTGCTCATCATAATAATTTGAGTCGATTAAGGATTTTATAGAATGATAAAATTTTTTTATGAAGAAATATAGTTATTAAAATACAACGGAAATTCAATTCAGTTATTTAGAGAAGAAATAAATTAAAGGCATTGTTTTATTTAATAAATTATTTCAGATAGTAATCAATTTGAGGAAAATTTATTTTATTAATTAATTAACATTTATAGTTGAAATTATTTAGGACGTCCTCATTAGGTAACAATTTCCATTCTAGAAATAATTTATTGAAATAGTTCGTGCTGATTATTATAATAAATTAAGAATTAATTAAGAATAATTTTAAGAAAAATGGGGTTAATTATTTACTGTTGAATATGTGGTGAATATATATATTGAGAATTTATTGAGAATTTATTTAAAGGCCGTGAAGTAAGTCCTTGTATTTTGTGAATTTATTTAGACCATTGATGTCTGTGTTGAATTTTATTGAATTTATTATAGGCCGTGTTGTAAGTCCTTTTGTTTTTGAATTTTATTGAATTATATTATAGGCCGTGTTGTAAGTCCTTTTGTTTTTGAATTTTATTGAATTTTATTATAGGGCGTGTTGTAAGTCCTTTTGTTTTTGAATTTTATTGAATTTTATTATAGGCCGTGTTGTAAGTCCTTTTGTTTTTGAATTTTGTTGAATTTATTATAGGCCGTGTTGTAAGTCCTGTTGTGTTATTTGAATTTTACGACATTCGTAGTCGAGTTATTTTATTGAATTTATTATAGGCCGTGCAGTAAATCCTGATATTGTGAATTATTTGAAGACAATGAGTAGTATAAAATAGACAATTCAAACACACAATGGAGCTGATCCGCTGATACCTGCTGATCCGCTGATACCTGCTGAACCGCTGATACCTGCTGAACCGCTGATCCCTGACGATCAGCTGTTCCTTGCTGATTCGCTGATCCCGCCGCCCGGTCGCGCACGTGCGCGAGATATATATTATCACTTATCATTATTACCGTTATTACTTATCATTATTACCGTTATCACTTATCATTATTACTGTTATCACTTATCATTATTACCGTTATCAGTTATCACTTATCATATATATTATATCCGCGCTAGACGTGTACAATTATATGACGGGAAAAAAAAACTACAAAATAATTGATCGGGTTTCGAACCCTCGACCCCCACCTTATATCGATGACGCTTTAACCCACTAGGCCACATGACCACTTATAATCTTAGCGTTATTTTCACTCATTTAACTAGATAAATATAAAATATTATGTATAGTATACAAATTTATAACATAGTGTAATCATAATAATATCTTTCGGCACATAGTTAACATCAACCACCATAATTTACCGTTATAAGTATATACCTTTGTTGGTAATTTCTAAGAATTTTTAGTCCTTTGGCGGCATATACCCTTTTTGTCATTGGATTTGACCGATTTCTATATAGGCGGTTTTTTTTAAAGGATTATCGTTATATGGGTCATCCTTTGGCGGTATACACCGTCCTTTGGTGGCATATACCCTTTTTGTCATTGGATTTGACCGATTTCTATATAGGCGGGTTTTTTTAAAGGATTATCGTTATATGGGTCATCCTTTGGCGGTATACACCGTCCTTTGGCGGCATATACCCTTTTTGTCATTGGATTTGACCGATTTCTATATAGGCGGTTTTTTTAAAGGATTATCGTTATATGGGTCATCCTTTGGCGGTATACACCGTCCTTTGGCGGCATATACCTTTCCTTTTATATAAGAAAGTAACTCTCTTTGCTTTTACCGTTATATGTGTGTGCCGCTACTCTTTTTGTCATTGGTAATTTATTGAATGTGACCGATTTATATGGTGGATGCGGCTATTTCAAAGGATTATAGTCACCATATATGGTCAAAATCTCTGTTCACGCCCGCCATATTGCTTTTTTTCTACACGATCCCCACCATTACCACCACCCCTAAAAATCCCTTAGTGTCCATGGTAAGAAGAGACTCTTGATTTTCCGTTTAGTCCGTGTACTACCTTTAACCGTTGTTCACATATATATTTACTCTCTCAGTCTTTAAAATATTTTTACAAGTGTTTATTTCTCTGCGTTTTAAAATTTATTTACACTTTGTGGTTTTATTTCGATATTACTTTACGTAAAAATGTATAAGTGTGATCAGTGCCCGTCAGTTTTCTCCGCAAAACGTAATTTGGTCGCCCACCAAAAGAAGCATGCAGGTGTACGTTTTCCGTGCACTGCATGCCCATCGACATTCTCGTACAAAAACAACCTCAACAAGCATCTGAAGAACATTCATGGTATGTACTAAAAATATAAAGTTTTATTTTATACAATATTAATTTTTCATTTTCCCTAAGGTATCGTTTCAGCTCACCTCAGACCATTGCCAGCTGCTCCGATCATAGATCAGACAGCACGACCGAGCGTCATCCAGTTCGCGCCTCGTATTGTTGCCCCCGATAGCGAGACCGGTGACTCATGCGTCATAATAGAAGATGATGATACAGGTTAGTTTTATTTATCAGAATTAATTAGATTTTTAAAAAGGCCCTCCGTTATTTACATAAAGACGTTAGATTTTTTTTTTTTTTTTTTTAAAAGAAATGTCACTCGTGCTAGATTTTTTAATAGATTTAATACCACATTTTTATTAATTAGGTTTTTTTTTTTTTTTTTAATTTTAATTTTAATATTTAATTCAATATTTATTTTATAAGGTATTATACCCGCTGGTCCCTCAAACGAGCTTCATCATCAGTCGAATATGCCAAACGATGAATATGACGATATGTGCGTGGCAGTTTTAGAAAATGCTCAAAATGCAGGGGGCTATGCGATGCGCCAGGTAAGATTTTTTTTTTATACATTATCGTCGCTAGATTTTATTTTATTTTATTTTAAGTAGATTCTTATATGACTTCGGTGGGTGGCAAACGCGTTTCCAGCGCCAACACAGTGTCGGCTGTTAAGGCGAAAAAGGCTCGTATGGAACTGGTTACATCCCCGGGTCTGGTTGAGATTTCATCGTCAGCAAAACGTAAAATAGTGTGGTATTTCTCGAAAAATCTGAATAATATTCGAAATTATCCCGACTTTCTCCGTTCTCTCGAACCGGCTCTGTCAGACAAGCTAAAAACTCACGTGCAGAGACATCCAATAAAATTTAGCTTGAAGCTCGAGGCTACGTATAACCGTCCAAATGTACCCAATTCATCCGAAAATCGAGCGTTTACAACATCGGCCAAAGAAATTTTTATAGGCACACAAATCGAAACAATAGTCGAAGAAGCTTTCATAAATTTATTAGCTGAGGAAGAGGCCTATGTTTCTCGTGGTAGCGGGTTTACGTTACAGTCTATCGATGGTTTGCTACTAGCCATTTATAAGTATGCACCGATATCTGGTTCGTCGTATATAGAATTACCGAAATCCATCATAGATAAAAGGGCAATAATAAATCCTCAAAATATAGACCAACAGTGCTTTAAATGGGCTGTATTGGCAAAGCACGTTACTGGACAGAATAAATGTCGTGTCAATGAAAATTATATGGAGCATGAGGACAAATATATTTTTAACGGAATTTCATTCCCGACACCGCTGTCAGATATTACCAAGTTTGAAAAAAATAATCAGAACGTTTCTGTAAATGTTTACGGACTTGAAAAACGATTACAGCCACCGAAAAAGTATCCTTCATATGAGGTTTTCCCACTCAAAGTCGTAGATGATGAAAAACGGGATCACTTTGACTTATTATTAGTGACGGATGGTGATAATACACATTATACTTACATCTCAAAGTTTTCGAGATTACTCTGTTCACAAAAAACTAGTCATGCAGGTCAAGTTATATTCTGTAAACGTTGCTTTACATCGTTCGACAGACAGAACTTAAAACATAAACTAAGCGGACAGGCAGCTCTAGAACACCACAGATTAATATGCGGTCCGCATAAACCCATACTACCGAAAATGCCTGAAGAGGGGGCAGTTCTTGAATTTAAAGCATGGCAAAACGCACAAAGACAACCTATTGTTATATATGCCGATTTCGAGGCTCTACTTGTAAAGACCAATGAGGAAAAGGGGGGTAATACAACAATAATACAAAAACACCGTCCGATGAGTTACGGATTTATAGTTAAGGCGGCTGAAAACGTACCATCAGAGCTGCTAAAACAATTCAATATACCAACCGAACCCGTAATTTACCGTGGTAGTGAGGACAAGCAAGACGTCGCAAAACATTTCATGGAGAGTGTTGTTGATGTGTGTGAAAAAATTGAAAAATTGTTAGCGACGAACGTACCCTTGATTATGACTGATAAAGATACGACTAGACACGCATCTTGTTTTAAATGCAATTTATGCAAATGCGATGTTAATAACTACACCCGTATTCGAGATCATGACCACCTGACCGGGAAGTTTAGACAGACTTTATGCAATAGGTGTAATTTAAGTCTTAAACAACCGAAATACGTACCAGTTTTCCTTCATAATCTTTCTAATTACGATGCACATTTTATAGTAACAGAACTAGGTTACGATTCGCATAGAATAAAAGTAATACCAAACAGCGAGGAGAAATTCGTTACTTTTTCGAAATACATAAGTAACGATTTTACGATCAGATTCGTGGATACATTTAGATTTATGGCTACAAGCTTATCAACTCTCGCCTGCAATCTGATAACACCAAACTTGGAAAAATTCCGCATAACCGCAAAACATTTTTCCAATAATGATCTACCGCTTGTCACCCGTAAGGGTGTATATCCTTATGACTTCACTGATGATTGGGCTAACCTTGAACAAACAACTTTACCCAAAAAAAGAGGACTTTTATAGTACCTTAACAGAAGAACACATAAAAGATACTGAATATCAGTTTGCGGAAGACGTATGGAGTCATTTCAATTGTCGAACGTTGGGCGAGTATTCAGATCTATACTTGAAAATTGACGTCTTGCTTCTGGTGGATGTATTCGAAAATTTCCGGGATTTATGTTTGAACACATACAATTTGGATCCAGCATATTATTTTACAGCACCAGCGTTTTCTTTCGATGCAATGTTGAAATACACTGCAATAAAACTGGAATTACTGTCAGATTATGAAATGCTATTAATGATTGAAAATGGTTAGTATATTGGAAATTATTTTTATTTCATCACATATATATATATATAATACGATTAAACTTTTATAGGTATTCGTGGAGGACTTACACAGGCCAGCATGCGGTACGCAAAACCTAACAATGAGAGAACACCTGATTATAACCCAGCAGACCTAAAATCCTGGCTTGTTTATCAGGATTGTAAGTTAATCTATACATTATTATTATCATTATAAAGCTAATTATATACTTTTAAAACCCTAGGCAATAATCTTTACGGTTGGGCAATGTCGCAGTACATGCCCTACGGGGGCTTCAAGTGGGTTAATCCTTCTCTTAACGGATTGGCTGATTTGAACGCAACTTCCCCTATAGGACGGATCTATGAAGTCGACATAACTTATCCAAAAGAACTTCACGATAAACACAACGACTTGCCATATTTACCGCAAAACAGTATACCGCCAGGCTCAAAAGTGCAGAAACTCATGGCGACATTTAAACCGAAAAAAAATTATGTGGTTCACTATCGCAACCTCCAGCAAGCCTTGAACAATGGTCTCATAGTTGAAAAGGTGAATATTATATAATGATATTTTATCATAGAATTACTAACATTTATGTTATAGGTGCATAGAGTTGTTCAATTTAAACAATCACCATGGCTCGCACCACACATTGCTTTGAATACCGAGATGCGAAAAAAGGCAAAGAATGAATTTGAGAAGGATTTCTTTAAATTACTAAACAACGCTGTATTCGGTAAAAAAAAAAAAAAATAATTATGATTCTTTTAATTATTGTCTTTATCATATGATTTTCATGCAGGAAAAACCATGGAAAATGTTCGTAAACGTATGGAAATGAAACTTGTTTCGTGTGACAGACGTTTACAGAAATTAATAAACAAATCGACATTTAACTACTGCACTACGTATTCTGAAAACCTAAATGCCGTAACATTGGAAAATAAGATCATCAATTTTTGCAAACCTATTTATATTGGTAATTTTCCTATTAATAATATATATATATATATATGAAGGTATTATTGAGATTTTTAATGTACATAGGTCTTGCGGTTCTTGACATAAGCAAGAGTTTAATATATGATTATCATTATAATGTGATGCAAAAACACTATGGGGATAAAATCGAGCTCATGTATACAGATACAGGTATTATTTTTATTTATTATTTATTATTAGTTCGATATATACATAATAATAATTTTCATAATTTATAGATTCATTGGTATATTATATCCAAACCGATGATTTCTATGAAGACCTCAAGAATAATAACAACTTATTCAACCGAATGGATACTTCCAACCTACCGGAAGACCATCCATGTTTTATTTCGGAGAGAAAAAAAATACCGGGTCTGTTTTCCGATGAAACGGATGGGCTCGTAATGACAGAGTTTTGAGCGCTGCGAGCAAAGTCACATGCTTACATTTTGGATGGTAGGGAAAAGATCAGGGCCAAGGGAATTAGAAGGCATGTTGTAAAGAATCATATGACGTTTAACGATCATAAAAAGTGTTTGTTTGGTGAAGAGGAGATGGATGTTAAGAGAGAAAATGTATCCATCCGCTCTTTCAAACATCAACTGATGACAATAAAATCAAACAAATTAACGTTTAATAACTTTGATGATAAAAGAGTTATCCTAGAAGATAAAATCCATACCTTGGCTCACGGACATTACTCTCTAAAGTAAATTTAAAATAAATTAATATTAATATTTATAATTTTATAGGGAAGATGAACCCGAGGATGATTGGCCTGAATTAGATGAAGAAGGACATAACTGGAAGGAGGAAGAGAAAGGCTTAATGAGAGACCTTCTACACTGCATAACCTAACCTGTATATAGTTTTGTGATATATTGTAAATATTACTCTTGAGATATATTTCTATTACAACACCTACAATATTGAAATAATTATAAATACCATGTATATTTAATTTGTAAATACCATATATATATATTTTGTTATATTTTCTCATATTTTTAATTTATACATATCATGTATATATTTTGTAAATACCATAAATTTTGTAAATACCATATATATATATATATTTTTAATTTATACATAATATCATGTATATATATTTTGTAAATACCATGTATATTTTGTAATCTATATATTTTTAATCTATAAAGGGTACCAATGTAAAAAAAAAAAAAAAAAACAATGTTAAAATATTATCATGTTTTATTTTTAAGAATTCTTTATAAACCATTTTCTTATAGCAAAAACTTTATAAAATGTACATTGTTTAGGATTAAATTCCATATGATAAATACAACAAGGTAGAGTTTCGTCATCGCATATTTGTTCCAAACGAGGGCAGCCTAAATCTTCAATGTTGATGAGTGCGACGTGTGGTATATACTCCATGAGAACTTGTTTTTTCTGATCGCCCTTGACGTATATGCATCTGAACTTTAATGAATTCAATATTCTACTTAGTTCTTCATACTCGATATCACCATAATCCAAGGATAGTTGATGATAGTTACGTTCCAGCCACTTGTTGGTTTTACGACTCTTGTTGTCTTGCTTTAGTTTTGAATTTTTAAAAATCCAATGTTGGGTCGCCCATGTTTCTGTGTCTACAATAGACATTTCTTTAATCATGTATTTATTGTCCATTCCAAGGACGCATTGCATGTCCAAGATGGCCGAAGACATTATGATTTATTTTTCAACGTGTCTGTATTTTCTTTGATATAATGTAATGATGCTTCAGATTTTTTTATGTAATCTATTATTATTAATTGAAGCGTTTCAGTTTGTTCTTGTTGTATATTAACGGATTTTCGATTTTCTTCAAGAAAATGTTCGATTTTATCTAATTTAGACGAAAACGATTTAACAATTTGTTCGAGATTTACTAAAAATTTATTAGTTTCACTAGACTGAGAACTACCGAACACGTTCATGTCTGTAGCTCGACTGACGCTATTTTTTAACGTCACGCATATTTATCCAACTATTGTGTGTATTATCAAACCCTAACCATTTTACAAACATTTGATCATCCTTCTTACATATAATTTTTTCAATTAAATAATCGTTTGGGTGATTGGTTTTTTGAATTTCCTCAGAGTAGAAACAGCCTTGTAGTTGATAAGTAGTGGGGGAAGTTTTATTTATTTTGATAACTTTAAATATTTCTGTAGACCAGCTTGGTAAATATCCTTTTGTAAATACCCCTTTATATGTACTTATACGAACATTATCACCAATGTTAAATTTAATTTTTCCATTAATAATTTGACGTTACTTTATTTTCACTAAAGAAGGATTTGCATCAGCTTGTATAGGTGTCATACCTATTGTTCTATGTTTTGAATTATTGTATTCGTTAATCAATGAAGGTAAAATAGAAACTCATTCGTGTGATCCTTGTGCAGTAAACTCTCTAAACATTTTTTCTTTCAATGTGCGGTTGAAACGTTCGATAATGCATGCTTTCGTTGTACTATATGTAGAATATTTGTGTATATTATGTTTGTTCATTAACGCGTTGAATGTTGTATTGTAAAATTCTTTACCATTATCGAGCTGCAATAGTTTTGGTGCGCGTTTAAGCAGTATTTTAGACATTGCATTCGAAACTTCTTTAGCACTTTTAGACTTTAATGGTGTCGCCCAAGCAAATTTTGTAAAACAATCCATGACGCATAAAATATATTTATAACCTTTATTGTTTTTCGAGTATGGGATCATTTCGACTAAGTCGGTCTGCCATAGATCGTTTTTACCATAAACATTAACTCTACGCCTCGTATAATTTTTTCTTGCTGGTTTGTGTAGTTCGAGAGCGATATCACGTTTAGACATTTGGAATTCGTTTTATCAAACCCGCTTCATACAATTCTTCGTAAATTGAAAGTATTTCGTTGGAAAGCCCTGTATTACCAGCAGCTTGAGAAGCTAAAAGTAGTCGTAAACGTTCGACTAACTCATTAGGATCATTCCAGTATACTAAACTTTTATTTTGTAATTTCACAGATAACCCACTACCAGACGGGAACAATGGTTTGATTATGTCGATGAATTTATTTCCACCTTTTTTAATTTTTTTCTCGTCTGATGTCAAATGTGCTGATGTTTGGATTAATATGCGTTTATATGTGTTTAGATCGTCTGCGGTATAGATTTTCGGAGTTTTCGAAATTATTAAACTAACAAGTCCTTGCGTCTTGTTTAAACAGTACAATAAAATTAGCGTTGTCGCGCAAAAGTTGCTTAGGTACTTTTGAATAACTCTGAGCTAAATAGAAAACATCTATTAAATTATGCCGACCTCTGGAAAAGTAAGTTCTTGCAATCTTTTGGTTTTCAGTAATAAAATCGTCGGAAATAAACACAGAGTTTGGTAAAGCTTTTTCAGGTTCAATAACATGTTCGTTTTCGTAGAACGTGAATAATTGTATTCCAGCAATGTCTGATAAAATATCACTCAATAATTTATACTTTGGTTGATCCAATGTTTTTGAATATATGTAAACGTTGTGAAATCGTATACCGTTTATGTGTGTTAGTAATGTGTATATTAAATTAGTTTTTCCACAACCTGAAGGACCCACGATAAGTGATCTTATCGTATTAGGTAGGAGCACCCCATGTCTCTGATTTTTATACGAAGTAGGTGGGTCCACGTTTTCAACTGTGAGTTGTATATCTTGTTTAAGGAATTTCATTTTTAAATAAATATCTCTGTAATACTGTGAACTTGATCAGTACACGATGTCACTCGCTCGAAGAAGGAACAACAATAAAGGCGCTGGTCTTATCAACACGCTTATAAACAAATTACCAATCGAGCTTCACGTACCTGGTGAGATCATAATAATATGCGTATATTAGTAATAATAATTATAATTTTAAAAAAACGGATAGCTCATGGTGACAAAGGTATAAACCTTCTGGATTCTGCTTGTAGAGACCACGACATTGCGTATGAAAATAGTAATTTATTTGCAGATCGTAACAAAGCCGATTATATATTAGAGCAGCGAGCCTGGGATAGGTTTAAGGCTAAAGATTCAAATTTAAAAGAAAAAGCTGTAGCTTGCTGCGTGACAACCGCCATGAAAGCAAAACGTAAAATCGGGGCTGGATGTGGGTTTAAAGCAGCCACCAAAGCAGCTAAAAACGCTTTAAAGAAAAATATCGGTGAAAAAAACCTGATGAAGTTAAGTAAAAAATGTCTAACCGTCGCACGAAAAACATTCAAAAAAAGAAAAACTAAAGTTCCAAGGATTATATCAATTCCAAAAAAGGGTGGGGTGTTGCCGCTCATACCGATTTTTGCCGGTTTGTCAGCAGTGAATCCCAATCTAAATGTATCCACGAATCTGATCGTAAAATCGTTACTTATGTATTTCGAAAAAGTAACGAAATTCTCGATTATTTAATTGAAAAAATTATATGTAAGAAGGATGATCAAATGTTTGTAAAATGGTTAGGGTTTGATAATACACACAATAGTTGGATAAATATGCGTGACGTTAAAAAATAGCGTCAGTCGAGCTACAGACATGAACGTGTTCGGTAGTTCTCAGTCTAGTGAAACTAATAAATTTTTAGTAAATCTCGAACAAATTGTTAAATCGTTTTCGTCTAAATTAGATAAAATCGAACATTTTCTTGAAGAAAATCGAAAATCCGTTAATATACAACAAGAACAAACTGAAACGCTTCAATTAATAATAATAGATTACATAAAAAAATCTGAAGCATCATTACATTATATCAAAGAAAATACAGACATGTTGAAAAATAAATCATAATGTCTTCGGCCATCTTGGACATGCAATGCGTCCTTGGAATGGACAATAAATACATGATTAAAGAAATGTCTATTGTAGACACAGAAACATGGGCGACCCAACATTGGATTTTTAAAAATTCAAAACTAAAGCAAGACAACAAGAGTCGTAAAACCAACAAGTGGCTGGAACGTAACTATCATCAACTATCCTTGGATTATGGTGATATCGAGTATGAAGAACTAAGTAGAATATTGAATTCATTAAAGTTCAGATGCATATACGTCAAGGGCGATCAGAAAAAACAAGTTCTCATGGAGTATATACCACACGTCGCACTCATCAACATTGAAGATTTAGGCTGCCCTCGTTTGGAACAAATATGCGATGACGAAACTCTACCTTGTTGTATTTATCATATGGAATTTAATCCTAAACAATGTACATTTTATAAAGTTTTTGCTATAAGAAAATGGTTTATAAAGAATTCTTAAAAATAAAACATGATAATATTTTAACATTGTTTTTTTTTTTTTTTTTACATTGGTACCCTTTATAGATTAAAAATATATAGATTACAAAATATACATGGTATTTACAAAATATATATACATGATATTATGTATAAATTAAAAATATATATATATATATGGTATTTACAAAATTTATGGTATTTACAAAATATATACATGATATGTATAAATTAAAAATATGAGAAAATATAACAAAATATATATATATGGTATTTACAAATTAAATATACATGGTATTTATAATTATTTCAATATTGTAGGTGTTGTAATAGAAATATATCTCAAGAGTAATATTTACAATATATCACAAAACTATATACAGGTTAGGTTATGCAGTGTAGAAGGTCTCTCATTAAGCCTTTCTCTTCCTCCTTCCAGTTATGTCCTTCTTCATCT